ATTGCAGTGGCGGGCAAGGAAGGTGGCGACCCAAAATCAAATGACGTGGTGGGCGATGGTGCACTTGGAGGAGCACCTCTGAGTGTTGAAACAAGTGGGCCGGCGGGCAAGGAAGGTGGCGACCCAAAATCAAGCGGCGTGGTGGGCGAGAGCGCACTTGGAGGAGCTCCTCTGAGAGACAATCCAAGCAACGATGTGTTGAACAATACCATTGTCACCGAAGAATCAAGCTACCTCTCAATGCTTCTGGATGATGGCATGTTCTTCGACGATGATGAAGAACAAGCGATGGACTTAGTTGCCTCATATTTCGACGACATTAGCCCACCGTCCGTTCCTCCAAAACCAAGCTCAAGCAAGGGCATGGATCGAAAGTCAAAGAAGACGAAGAACACGAGCGGTGATGACCCATCCATGAAGAAGAAACGGAAGTCGGCTCAAGAACATTTGGACAAGGCGACGACTGGATGGCCATACTTCGAACCCAAGTTGTGTCATGAAGATGTGTTGAACCAGTTGGACGTCTTCAAGGAAGAGTTGTTAGCTATCAACCAACGAACCAGTTCGAGACGGCGGATGCGTGATGACGAATCAAAGTCGACGTCAAAATCGCCAGCGATCGACGGGGGAACGCGGGGTGGCGATTCAAAGTCGACGTCAGAATTGCAAGCAATCTCGACCGCAAGTCCCAGTTCCGACTCCGACGGGGTTTGGAAGCTCGTTGAGGACTTGGTCATGCAACGCATTGCCATTGAAGATATTGGTTGGTTCCCTCCGACCCAATCGATGGTTGAAGTCAACAGCTCTTGCTCAGTTCGGCCCATTCGGCGCCAAGAAGTCGAAAAGCACAAGAAGAAACTGATGGTCGATGGGTGGAACCACGACTTTCGTCTTGTTTTGCGCACTCCAGGCCCTGCAGGCAAGAAGTACGGCATTATCGATGGCCAGCACGGCTTTATGGCCATTGTGGATCTGTGGATGGACCGGACGCTGGGACCTGGCGCCGCGCTGTCGTCATTGATGCGACAAGGCCAATCAAATCCATGCTTTCCCTCGATTGTGGTCGAAAACGCGAGTAATCTAAACGTCGTTCAGCTGGGAATGCGCTACAACGAAATGTACAAGCATGGAAACAACCGCAAGGCGTTCTACTGGATGACCAAGTTCGTGCTATTTCACAACTGGTCAACGTTTGCTGGTTGTCGGCTGTCGAATTCGTTCGAGTATGGCGAAAAGGTTCGGAGCGCAGGATCCGGACGCGCTGCTTTGTGTGGAGGAAATGAAGCGCATGAAGCTGGACGTCACGGCGATGAGAAGGAAGACCTCGATCGACACGCTTCGAGCTGCTGCGAGGTTGTGGTACTTCCGACTTGTTTGGCGCCATTATAGCCGAATTGGACGACCCGTTTTCGGGTTTTCGGGTTTTCGGGGTTTCGGGGTTTCGGGGTTTCGGGGTTTCGGGGTTTCGGGGTTTCGGGGTTTCGGGGTTTCGGG